GATGCCGTGTCACCAAATGAAATGATCAAAAAGGCAGTTGGATATAGACCTCTGAATTTTATTTTATTTAAAAAAATTTTTTTTAATTTTTTTTTCAACATTTATTTATTTTTGGGAGAGAGAGAGACAGAGCATGAACGGGCGAGGGGCAGAGAGAGAGGGAGACACAGAATCGGAAACAGGCTCCAGGCTCTGAGCCATCAGCCCAGAGCCCGACGCGGGGCTCGAACTCACAGACCGCGAGATCGTGACCTGGCTGAAGTCGGACGCTTAACCGACTGCGCCACCCAGGCGCCCCTAAAAAAAAATTTTTTAACGTTTATTCATTTTTGAGAGAGAGAGAGAGACAGAGTATGAGCGGGGAAGGGGCAGAGAGAGAGGAAGACACAGAATCTGAAGCAGGCTCCAGGCTCGGAGCTGTCAGCACAGAGCCTGACGCGGGGCTCTAACTCATGAACTGTGAGATCATGACCTGAGCCGAAGTCGGACACTCAACCAATGAGCCACCCAGGCGCCCCTAGACCTCTGAATTTTAAAAGAGAATGTTAGCTACAGAAATCTAACTTGAGAATACTGTGAAAAAGAAATTATCGCACCGGATTGAGGTAATAGCTGACCCCTGTGGTCCCATTGACCTCTTTTAGTCCCTGGTTCTATAGAATGTAGTCTATAAAAAATGTATTCCATCTGTTACTACCACATGATGAATTTGGTATTACAGATTCTGGATGAGGCCCAAGTTACCATGCAGCTGCTTTCTTTTACAAATTGAAACAAAACAAAACAAAAAACAGCCTTAGCCCAAAGCCAACTATTTCTTTTGAGCAAAGACACAAAGCTGTACACACAGTAGCCAGATATAGTAGAAAGACCACTCTGATTTAGGTCAGATCAGAATAGGGGTGGTTCACAATACAATGAGCTTGATGATTTATCTAATTGATGACCGGCAAAGGTGTGACATGTTTAATCCTTTGAAAAGTGTCCCATTGTATGAAACTGGCAGTCTAGATATGTGTCAATAAGCAATCAAAAGCCTGACTTTCTGGATTTGTGCCAGCCAACATTGTTTTGGTGCTTCTATAGAACAGCGAAGCCCTTCAAAAGAGTGCAACGGCAACTCCCTACAAGAGCGTGCCGTCTGCCTTTCCCAATGATGCAAGCCTCAGTTGCTCCACGGAAAATGTGACTTTAGGTACTTAAATATAAGAACATTTGCAAACTGCAACTGAGTTCTCCTTTCTGACTACACCTCGTTCATGTATGCCTCTATTCTAGCACTTGCTGTCTACTGGCTTCTCTCCTCTATTAGACTAGAGAGGACTTGCTCATCTTTGCTCAACTAGCACAGTTGGTGTTCATTGCAAAATGAGTAAGTAAACATGCACGATCTCTTCCGCCATGTGAACTTTATTTACCCTGCTTTATAGAAAGTGAGGCTGACTGTGATTTGTTCAGGGTCCACATAATAGACGTGTCATCCCATTGGCTGCCCAGTTATCTGAACTCCCTACATTTGGGAATTCCCCATCTTTGAGATCTTTCACTGTAAAAGCCAAAAATCCAGTTATTTCCTCTGCTTTTCCACATGACCCGGACACTACAAATTAGATATTCCTGGACCATCAGTTGGAAGCCAGAGACAACAAAGTGGAGACTTGGCATAATTCTTTGGTGGCCATGGCAAACCGCAAGATGAAGTTCTTAGAACACTGGCTGTCAGGATAGTGCAGGGCTCTCGGTCTGTGGCTTTGGCAAGTGGTGGCATCTAATCCTCAGCAGAGATCTCTTCACTGCACTGGGTTGTACTTGGTGACCAAGTAACAAGGAGTGATGTTCCAATTGCCTAGTCTCCAAGCCTGGTTCTCCAGGCCTCCTGGTGTTGCTAAATTACCTATAATCCTTTCAATGAATTACTTTTCTCTTTAAATCTACCCAAACTGGATTTGGGTGTTTCAAGTAAAAAAAATCTGACTCATATAGTCACATAATTAAGAGCAGAACTGAAGCTATAACTGAGGACTTTTAACTAATTCTAGTGTTCTTTCCAAACCAATAGACCTCTACCTCCAAACAATGCATTTTTTACACTACATATTGGTGCCTCGAAATCACTCGGTTCACCATTTATCCTTTTAGTGCCAGTTGATTAACGAATATTTCAAACGACTGCATGGTGAGGCAATTGCCAGTTCAACAGTGTGAAATGTAGCCGTATCAATCAGTACAGCTGCTTAGGTAATGTTTGTTTGTTTGTTTTGCAATTTTGTCCTTTATAGACACAAGTGGAAAATGAAGGTACTATGACTAATATGGCTGAGAAAAAGATGAAAATTATCAGGTGTGCTTAAAGCACATTTTTAGCCTCAGTAGAATGCTTACTGGATTAAAGTCAGCTGTGTTTTGTGACGGAAGCCGTTTAAGAGCGTTTCATGCAACACTTCCGATACTGTGTTTAAAAGGCAAAGTAAGTGGTTTTGTAATGTTTTTACATCTCAGTAACAAATCAACTTGTCAAAATGCGATTTCTACGTTTTTGTGAACTTGTATAAGCGTAGGCAAGTGGCACCACATAAGCATACCTGTGATACAGCACGCGTTTGGCCCTGCGTGAAGTCCGTAAGACGGGGCAGGGAAAAGACCTGGTGCTTTATTTGTAATTTCCTACTGAAGCCAAGAAAACAGGTTACTGAGCGTTGTTCTTGTGTAATTTGGAACTGCAGTATATACAGTAGCCAGCAGATGTCAGGATGGGATCTCTTTCGAGAAAACAATAAACAGGAGTTTGTGAAAGAACTGAAGGTTTTCTTGTTCTTCTGTGCTCCCCACTCTTCAGTCACACTGGCCTTTTTCTTTAAACACACATGCTTTAACACTTTTTCCAAGGTTCCTCATTCTTTTATCTGGCCAGCTGCTATTGATCCAATCTTCATGTAAGGCTTCCTCAGGGAGCCCTCCCCAACCCAATGGGTCAGGACTCCCCTATTTCAAGTTCTCACAGCTGCCTGCACTTCCCCCCCAACAGCAGCTTATATAATAGGATGTGTAACTATTGATGAATTAGGTAATGTTTGCCTCCTCTGCTAGAATGTAAGCCTCTTAAGGATAGGTACCATGACTGAATTCCTTTCTGTATCCCTCAGCTACCAGTGCCTGCTACTCTGTAGTTACTGAATAAATACCTGTGAATGTGAACCTCCACCAACCAAAATGGGAATATTTCTCTGAGGCCTGGACAGCGGGGATTGTCTGAAAAGTCACTAATTTTTCCACCTTCAATTCAGTAGTCATTTACTCAGCCCCTACTTTGTAAAGATATTATGTGGGACAGAAAAATATGTGAGATAGCACTTGTATTCAAAGAGTCTTTCGGGGCGTCTGGGTGGCTCAGTCGGTTGAGCGTCCGACTTCGGCTCAGGTCATGATCTCGCGGTCCGTTGAGTTCAAGCCCCACGTCGGGCTCTGTGCTGACAGCTCAGAGCCTGGAACCTGTTTCAGATTCTGTGTCTCCCTCTCTCTCTGATCCTCCCCCATTCACGTTCTGTCTCTGTCTCAAAAATAAACGTTAAAAAAAAAAATTTTAAAAACAAAGAGTCTTTCAGTAACAGAAAAAGACGAGAGAAAACTTTGTCCCATAGTGGCAATCCCTACTATACAGTATCCATGTTCAGATTCTTACTCATTTCCATTAAAGAGCCCTGTCTGCAACCCACCCCACCTTGGTCACAGCAGTTGAGTTCAAGAAGGAAATCTTTCTTAGCTTCCAAACCTTTATCCTAATCTGCTGGGATAGTTCCTTGACAATATGCTTTTAGCTTTTAAGAACAGCACTCAGACTCCCATTGTAGGTTTTCTCAAGGCTAAATACTTCTAATTCTTTCAATCATTTCTCTTGTACCATGATTTCCGGATACCTCCAGTGCTCTCTACTCTGGCAAGTTGGCTGCTCTTGAATTATTTGTCAGATCTGGAGACCTTAATGTTGTAATTTTACAAATGCAACCTAAAATTGCTTTCAGTTTTAGTTTTGACTCTTATTCCTAAACCAGTCCAGAATCTCAGAATTGGAAGAGGCCTTAAGGTAAACTCACTCACTGCTACCCAAAGCAGATCCTGGACCAAGTAAATCACCTGGATGCTTTTTAAAAAAGTGACTTCTGACTCCATCCATAGTAATTCTGATTCAGTAGATTTTTTTGTTTAAAAGCTTCCCATGTGATTTGGTGTGTAGCCTGTTTTGGAAAGCACCTGTGCACACGATGCCTGACACTGCCTTATAAAACACACTCATTACCAGTGTTCTTTTCCACTGTACTTGAACCTCTCCTGTGGCAGGCGCCCACCACCAAGAGGTACCTGTGTATGAAAATCCTTCCAACCATTCTTAGTATGCATTCTTTGATTCCCAGGTATCTGACATGCAGGGCCCATTTACTCCTAAAATTGTTATGTGAACAGAACATCAGTTCCCCATAAACACGAAGACACATTTATCCTTTTCTACCAAGAAACAAGTATTGGGGCTCCTGGGTGGCTCAGTTGGTTGGGCGACTGACTTCGGCTCAGGTCATGATCTCACAGTTATGGGTTCGAGCCCCACGTCAGGCTGTGCTGACAGCTCAGAGCCTGGAGCCTTCTTCAGATTCTGTGTCTCTCTCTCTGCCCCTTCCCCGCTTGCACACTGTCTCTAGCTCTCAAAAATAAACATTTTATATGTATATATACATACATATATGAAATATACTATTTTACCATTTTTAGACATGGATCAGGAAGAAGGAAATAAATGATATTTTGAGTCTGTATTATCTAGGGCAAAGTTTACTACAGTGCTTGCTAGCAAAAGTGAAGGTTAGCTTAAAATGGGAAAAGTAGATGTTAAACTAAATGCCTTTCCCTTCAACCCTTTCCCAGCAATCATTGTTTCACTAAGCTAGTAATATTTTATTAAGGATATTTTATCTTTTGTTTCATTTGCTTGAGACCAATGAAAACAACAGTTATGAAAATTGAGCATTTATAAAATTTTAGTTGACATAAAGATTCAATAGTAAGCCTATTAAATTTTACTCAAAAGTACAGTAAAATCAAATAAAAGCTGAGTTTTTACTAATGATATTAAGATGAGCAATTCATTTGACCATTTCCTATATTTCCTTGTTTTAATTCTTTTCTATCACATTTCTAAAAACTTTTTTGTAATATTTGTTATTTTAAATTATCTATATATTGCTTCTCTGTCATCAGTTCAAATAATCAGAGGCAATGCAATCTGAACCTTGGGAAGAAAAGCATCTTATAAACTCCCATTGCTGTATGACATCCAGCAGTAGTCTCCATGATGTTTCCGCACTGTCCCATAAAAATTAGTCTTCAGTCTCTTGGTATCATGAACATATTTTCAATTAGCGATTTTCTTTCCTCCTAAATGAACGTACAAATTGGGGGAGAATAAGTTGTGGGAGTAGGTCAAATGTGATCCTTATCAGACCACACCATACATACTTAGCTGTGAAACCAACAAACTCTTAACATACCATCTCTTGTACTAACAGCACATTGATGATATTTCTCTCTTCAGAGACAAAACGAATGAAGCCTATTTTACAGAACAGGAACTTTTATCTCCATGGAAACTGAAGGAAGGATATTTTGGGCATACAAAGAGGTGTTCAGGGCTACTGCTCCACTGTGTTCACTCCTACAGTTGCCCTCAGCAGGACTGACCCCTCTATGTTCTTCCTGTCCACCAGCTACTTCCTGCCTTTCCCTTCTTACCCAGCTTAGATGCCTTGTGAATTATTTCAATCACTCCCGACCTGTCATTTCACCTCAGCCATGTGACAAGCCCCAGCCCTAGATGAATCCAACTCTCCACCTTCTCCGAGCCTGCCTGTGGACAGCAGAGCAGTGCTAGAGAAAAAGCCCACAGCCAGGCACTGCAAATTCATAATCCAGGATCTTAACTGGGGTAACAATTTCATCTGACAAGCTTAGCCTTTTGGCCTTTTCTAGTTAGCTTACTCTCACACTTCCCATAACTAGTTAAAAACTTCTCCACTCTATTATTCAATGAATAATGAGTGCCTGTGAGGTACCAGGCAGTCTTCTAGATACTAAGATACTACAGTGAACGTTAATAGATGAAATCCCTACTCTCATCAAGCACACACTTAATGGACACAGACAATTAACAACATAAATAAGGAAAAATATCTTAAATGCCATTAAGGAAAATAAAGAAGGGGGTTATAGAGTGCTGGAGAGGCTGTAGTTAAAAAAATGTTTTTGAAATACAATTTAACTATGGAAAAAAGTCAATAAGCGTAAAACTTGCTGGATTTTCACAAGTTGAAACATCCTATAACTTATAAAAGAGCTGGGAAAGGTCCCACTGAAAAAAATGCCATTTAAGCAGAGACCTGAGAGAAAGGGAGTGAGGCAGTTGAAAATCTAAGGGAAGAGCAGTGCAAAGGCCAGTGCAAAGGCCCTGAGGTAGCAGCTTGTGAGTTTGGGGAAGCAAGGAGACCAGTGTAGCTGGAATGCAGTGAAGGATGGAAGAGTCATAAAAGACGAGATCAGAGATGTAATGAGGACCAGATTGTATAGAACCTTGTGGGCAACCAGAAGGACTGTGGTTTTTACTGAGTGACATGGAAAACCACTGGAGAATTTTAAGCAGGAGAGTCAGCAGTATCTATGCTGTAAATAGAAGAGGTCTGAGGACTGAAGCCTGAGGTATTGCAAGTTTCAGGTCAGAAATGAAGGGAAACCTACTAAAGCATTTAAACAGTGGATGAGTGAAATAGAAAGGGTAGCAAGAAGGAAAATCAGGAAATTCGTATCATGGAAGGCCCACAAAGTGGTTACAATAATGAAATAGTGTTGAGTGCTGCAGATCGGGTGAGACAGGTCAGTGTTAACCTTGACAAGAGCAGTTTCAGAGGATCACTGGGGATGCATGCCTAACCGGAATGGGTTCAGGAGATCACCAGAAAAAGGATATGAAAATATAGAGCACTTTACTGAGGTGTTTAACTGTGAAAGGGAACAGAGAAATGGCACAGTACATGGGGAGAGTAAGGATTCAAGAGGACTATGGTGGATGTTGTGGTGAACAACTTAGATCTCAACTTTAGGACCAAGGTACTCATTCCCCCAGCACCTTTGAGTGCTGGCTGCTGATGGCTCACAGCTGCAGTGCTGCACACATTGCCTCTGGCTGATTTTTTTAAAAAAATTTTTTTTAATGTTTATTTATTTTTGAGACCGAGAGAGACAGAGCATGAACAGGGGAGGGGCAGAGAGAGAGGGAGACACAGAACCTGAAACAGGCTCCAGGCTCTGAACGGTCAGCATAGAGCCCGACGCGGGGCTCGAACTCACGGACAGTGAGATCATGACCTGAGCCGAAGTCGGACGTTTAACCGACCAAGCCACCCAGGCGCCCCTGCCTCTGGCTGTTTTACACTACTACAGAAGAGCCGACAGCACAGAGCTCACAAAGTCTGAAGTATTTACCATTTGACCTTTAACAGAAAAAGTCTGCCAACTCCTGCTTTAGCGGCTTCTTTGATGACCGAAGCTACATGTAGAATTTATCAAGTCATCAAGTGATAACAAAATAAAGTAAAACGTCTAGCTCATTTCCTTTCTATACTATCCACAATATTCTCTGGTGCCTGATGTCATAGCTAAAGAGAGATGCTTAGCTCAAGCAAAGGAGGGGAAAAAGAAAAAGTTCAGATTCCTACACTTGTTCTTCCTTCCAAATCTAGGCCCAATTTTGCCCACCTATAAACTACGAACACACCGTAACTGAAATGCTAACTTCACAGAAGAATTTCAAAGAGCAGTGATAAAACAGTTTAAAAAGAAAACTTATTGGTACCAGGAAGAACACTAACCTAATTTAGGAGCAAAATTCTCAGTTCATATCCCTTATGAAACTTGTTTGTGGATTAACATTTTCTCTCAATTATCTGCATTTCTTTCTATGCTCCATTTTAAGAGTTTACAAAACTCAAATCTGCTATGGTTCTTTACTATTTCTTATTACACGTTCAAGCCAAATATATACACATGGCCAACTGTTGTCTGCTCTACTATTTCTGAACTGTTTGTTATAAGTATTAGTCTGCCCTCCCAAAACCAGGGAGTTTATGGCCTGAATTTTAAAAAGTCAGTCATAAAAAACTGCACTATCATTTTTCCTTTATTCTAGCCTGAACATATGCTGGAATTCAGGGTAACAATCAACATATTCCAAGAAAAGCACTTAAGGATAGAGTATGATCAACACCCATTAAAAGCCCCTAAACCTACTTATTAGCCATCAAATCTTCCAGAGTCTCAAACTCCATCTGTAAAATGGCATTAACACTGACTGTTGAAGTTTATATACAATTAGAATATAAGCGGGGCGCCTGGGTGGCGCAGTCGGTTAAGCGTCCGACTTCAGCCAGGTCACGATCTC